CTGAACCCCTACTCTGAGCAAGCATGCAAATGAAGGACACCCATCCTTGCTTCACATGCAAATTAGGGGTAAACCTCCACGGGTACCTGGAGTTTGGACTGTATAAAGGTGGTACCCCAGATGAACAACCTGGGAAACCCCCACCAGAAGCATGATTCAGAGCAACCACCACCAGAAGAATGACTTCTGCCATCAAGAAGCCCAGGGTGAAGAAGGACTAACGGGACACTGCTGGATCCATGGGGGGTGTCTATCTCTCCCTCTCTTTCCAACATCCCCAGCCACTCTTTCTCACTGCTCTTTCCTATATCTTTCTCTCTACCTCACATTTGTTGTTAAATAATTCTCACATTATTATATTATTATGTTACCAATGTGTTATTGACTTTGGCATATGGTCTCTTTTGCATCTTAATTTAGGCAGAGTATCATAGCAGGAACTAATGTAGGAACTACTATCATTGCAAAAAGAACCAAAACAGATGATGTCCTACTGTTGGCATACAATTTATTTCTCTGTCCTGAAATTTCCTCTATATAAGATAAAATAATTATCTTGATCACTTTTAAAAACTGGATTTTGGATTACAGTAATGCAAAATCTTATAGTAATAATAAATGCTCATTGATGTACTACAGTAACTTGTCTATTTTCCTTAAATAAAATGAACCCTGCATATCAGCAAGGGACCAGTGCATGTTCTTTAGACTAGAAATATGTCTATTCTTGGCCTTTCTCTTTACTTCCTGTCTCTTCTAGAAAGAGTGGCCAATTTTTTTCTTTTTATCCCACTGAACTGAAAGATATTCCACGGCATAAGTAGAGTCACATTTGCCCCAGAATCATGTTTCTATTGAGTGCTCTCATGCCATAAATAATTTACTTTTGTGGGTTCCCACCCACTATAATGTAAATGCTGGTTTCTTCCATTACCATTTTTTCTCCCACAAGAGCTTTCTAAATGCTATTTTGATTTATTCTTGAAAGATTTTCCTGCTTAAGTGACTTATGAGCCCCCTTTTCTTTTACCCCGGAGTGTGCCAGCTGCATTTAACTTATAGAGTATCATTTGTTTCAACATGCAAGTGTAAAAAAACCTTTTTATATACTAAAATGAAACAAATGAAGAAAAATATAATTGAATTCTGGATCTTCGAGTGACAAATAGTGCAAGTGAAATTTAAACATAAAACTTGAATTGTATTTGCAGACAGTCAAACTAGATTAATACATTCAGTGCAAGAACTTTTAAATCCTGTGCAAAGTAAGGACTTGACAATGATTATTGAATTTCCATCTGCCTGACAGTTGAGGAAACACAATATATCTGATGAGTTTTATTTGCAGGTCTTATATATACTAAAAAGATAAATCCACATTTCTCTCTTCTGTGATTTCAATGGAATAAAAAGTAGGTATAGAAAGTATAAAAAGTAGGTTTAATGATGCTAACTGACCAGTTACTTTAATGGCCTTGAGAAATATGGGGACACATATTTCCTTAAACTGATCAGACAATATCAGACCACCAAGGTAAGTATGAGGGGTCAGCACCAAACAATATTGAGAAAATTTCACTTATCTACAAGGACATACAAAGAAGCTGTCTCAATGAGTATAAAATGTTCTTACATGCAAAAAAAACCATTGAAATCCTCTACCTGTTGCAAACCTTTAGGAAAATTAGGTTTATCTGGGTTTGGTGAGTGCATGTGTGTTTGTTTTGAATTTGTCTTCCACATAATGACTCTAAAGAGTCATTATCCAATGGATAATTGGTATTTACTCATGTTAACAAGATTTATTTCTTCACAGCTTCTTTGTATTATCCAAATACCTGATATATTTCCCCAAATTGAAGGCTACAATTATTAAAACCACATATATGTGTATATGTATGTCTTTATACCTATATATATGATGTTCCTAGTGAATGGTGTTTTATTTTTATTGTGTTTATTGTAGTTCCCATGACTGTTTCATCTGTCTAGATCAGTAATATTTTCAGACATATAGAAATTTCAAACATATAGTAAATATATAGGAATTTCAAATGTATAAGAAATACGTACAGAAAACCTACAGCCATAATATCGTACTGGAAACTGTTATAAAAGAATGTTTTAGTCAGCCTTTACAGATTGTTGGGCTAATTGGTATAGAGACATCCTTCTTTTAATTTTCTTTAATACTTTGTGTCAACAATAGTCAATAATGAAAACTAGTAGAAGTATTTTCATTTTAACTCTGTCCTCACAATGCTTCTTTAAAAAATTGAGAAAATATGTTTACCAAGCACTCAGCAAAGTTATTTTTCATTATATTTGTCTATTAGAAGTTGTCTGATGTCACAAAAAAAAGAGTACAGTCTTGCAACTGCTAAATAAATACCTAAATATCTTTGTAATTACTTTTGATTTGTGTGATGTGTTCCAAGATTTTTTTATGAAGTTCCTAGCACTTTTCTTATTTTTTTTTAAATTTGAATGAGCTGTAACAAATATTAATTTTACAATGCAAGTGAAAATTTCTGGCCACACTGGAGTGCAAAACCATAAGAGCAGCTTTTCTCACGCTGTTTAAGGATTTCTTCCGTTTGGAACAGACTGGTTCACAAATTCCAAGTCTGTGTGAAGACTTTGCTTTTGTTCATTTGGAGCTTTGACCAAAGTTTCTTAATGATTCTTAGTAAAACAAAATCATTATTTTGGATTTCTACCAGGAATACAGGGAGTGGTCCTATCCTTAGGACTTACTCTTATCTGATGTAGATTTATGGATATAGAAAGATCATTTCATAAAAGCTTATGCATTCCTGAAAACAGCTTAGTTTTGCGGTTTATAATAACAGGGCTTTTAATCTACATAAAAAACCTATAAAGGATCTAAGTGCTATGACACTCCCATCTTTCCACCACATGTTGACACATCACTCAGAAATATTAGGATGCATTATTAGTAAAGCCATAAAACATCTGCTTGCTGTCTGTCTCTTTAGATGCCAAACTCTGAAGCTCCAAATACTGTCAGCTTCCTCCTTCTTGCTTGACACAGCCAGTGTTTGGACAAATGAGACTGTCATTGCCATGGGTTCGTTTACTATGGTTTTAGGAAGACCAGGATGGGAAACAAATAATGCAATGGATAAATTGTGGCTGTCAAAGGCTCTTTCTTTTGCATGAAATCATTCAGATATGGAAACCATATAGTTGTGGACATGCAAACAGGATATTGTGGTATTAAGGAAATACATTGTACTATACTACAATACGGAAAAAGATAAAGGGAACGTTTTTGTCTCCACTTACTATTTAACTATAAAGCTATATTCTAGCCACCAGAATGAGATCTTCTCTTACATTGATAATACACAGCATTTTTGATGGACAGTAATATGTCAGACTTGGATGCAGCCTCACCTAGCATCCATTCAGTTACAGACTGTGCCCAGGGCCCACCTTGTTCCTACTCAAAGTGCATTGATAAAACTTATAGTCTACCAGAGAAATTAAAATCTAGATTCATAATGAGGATTTCAATAATTTCTGTGAAAAAGTGGGTAGAACTGATAAATTTCAAAAGGAACATTTTTTGCTTAACAGTATTTTATGACTAAAACTGAATCCAGCTGAACATTTCTGACCACTTCTGCCTAACTAAACTATGTCTGATCTTCTGCATAACAAAGGTCAAAGACTTACACATAAATATTCCCAAAGAAATCTGTGTGAATATAGAACATAAAGGCATTGTGTTTAATGTTAGAGTTCAAGTGATGAAAAAAATCATCCACTGGTCTGCTAAAGCGTTAAAATAATTTATAGTCTTTGGCTTCAAAACATGTACTTTGTTTCAGATTTTAACTTTCTACCATTTATTCAAGTCCACCAAATCTTGTTATGCTTCCGTTACTTATTAAGGAGTCTTTTAAAATTAGCTATCATGTTCCCCTTTGTGTTTGGGACCCCACAAAAAAGTATTTTCCCTTTCCATCTTTTCTTTTTTGCCCTTTACCCAGACACTTCTAGTTTTTGTAGAACTAGATATGTTGATACTGCAAAGTATGTTTTCATCAGTATCTTTGTAAGTCCCACATCTATAATGTTTCAGAAAAAAAAATTGCTGTTTGTTTTCCCTTTTTTTTCTATTTTTTGGAGGGGGGGGGAAAAGATCAAATAAGCTTTATCTCACTCTAGCTTGTACAGCAAATCCAGGGCTTGAATTTAATCTTTGCATTGTTATAATTTGTAACAGCTCATATTAAAGGTCTATGATATCGGGTAGAAACAACTCCATATGGATTTTATTACATTCTTCAGTTGGGTTAAATGACCTGAAATTATGCAGGCATTTTGCCACTGATCTATTATCCAGAAGTAAAAACAAAGGTGGAGGGAGAGTGCAAATAAATAAAACCTAAGACTGACTTGAACAGGAAGCAGTTTGTTGGCAAGTTTGTAACCATCAGTTGGTTTGTGGGCATGAGAAACACCTTTTTTTGGTGTATACAGTAGAATCCCTGAATAGAAAGTAGCAGGGAAATTGAATTAATTTCTTTATCTAATATTAATGCATTATTTTTACTTAACTCCCACCACAGTATCAAAGCACTGTCCTGAAAAAAATTCTTTTTCACTGTTGACAGATATTAGCTGTCCTTTGTATCTACAATGCCTCTGTTCTTCTAGATATAATCTGATATGCTTTTGATCTTTGTAAATTGAACACTTCCAGCTCTGGACAGAGAGGGTACTAGAAAAAGAATACTAATCTGGAGAAAGTGTTTCCAGACATGTGTAAAATTAGTTATAATACTTGGTGTAAGCAGGTCTCATAGTACGGTGTCCAACAGTTTTCTGTCTGGGAAGCCTTTTGTGAAACAAAGAAACATGGCCAGGGACTGTGGTGGAATATGTATGTAGACTCAAGGAAAACATGGAAATCCTACATTAAAATGCAAACCTGTGATTTATCTTTTGGTAAAACAGTACTATTCTTAATGTGAAAGCAGATAGCACTCATCTGGTCTTCAATTCCTATCCCAGCTTCACTGACCACATGAAATGGTACTTTTATTATGTGTTGCTTATACCTTGATGGTACTCCATAACACCTAATTCTTATCTTGCATTCAGTGGCAAGGCCCTTCACAAGCTCTTCCTTAGTTTGCCCCTGAATTTTTTTCTCTTATCATATTGGCCCATCCATATTGCCAATGCTGTCCTTGTCAATGCCCTGCTCTTCTTCCTCCTCTGCCTACCTTAGGCTTTTCTGCTTGATCTTTTATGTACAAATGTGCTACTGATCCTGTACTTGTGCACCTAGATGAGAATAACACCTAGATATACAGTTCCTTGCACTTTAAGCTCTACAGCACACAAACATCACACAAATGGAGTCTTAGAGATCAGTAATATTTGGCTACTTGATCAAGAAAATCAGTGGGCTGAACTACTAGATGTGACATTTTACAATTATTGACTTAGTAAAAAACAAAGTTCTGTTTTCTGTATTAGTAACTATGTTGGCATGAAATTGTATATACTAATTATTTAATTTCATTTTAGTTTACTCGAGCACAAAATTTTAGAAATGGAAGAAAGGCATAAAGAGGAGCTGGATACTTTGAAGGAGGAAAAAGAAAACCTACAAAGCTTAGTCACACGACAAAGCTACATAATCCAGGAACTAGAGAAGCAGTTAAACAAGGCAACAAGCAATAACAGTGTCCTGCAGAAACAACAGCTTGAATTGATGGATACAGTTCACACTCTGATCACTCTCTGCTCCAAGGAAGGAGGTAAGAAAGTAATATCATAAAACATTAGAAGTATTGGCAAATTTCTTCTGAAGTAAGAAGTAAAGAGTAACAAAATTCTTCCTGAATTAGCAATAGCAATACTGATTTGTTTCTCTGCACATCTGTCTCCTTCTGCTGGGAGTAATCCAACCAGCCATGGATGTTAATTTAACAGATGCTTATGTCTAATTCACTCTAGACTTCCTTTGCAATCAGAGAACAGTGTACTAAGCAAAGGAAAGTAACCCAAAATTATTTACTTGTATGTGGCTAATACCGTTGATGAACTTGAATGCAGACAGTCATGGTGGTGTAGATAGACACACAAAAGATGAATCACTTCTCTTGAATGAGATTTTATTTATAATAAGGCATAATTTTTAATTCCTTCTGCCTTGCTCAGTTTTGTTTCTGTGTGCATCACATACACTCCACACACACACAAAAAAGAAATGACAACCTCTGAAAGAAAGGGTTAACAAAGACTCTAGGACAATTCTCAGGTACGCCTTTCTTAGTAAATTTTTAGTAGACTTAGTTAAGTCTACTAATAGTTAAACTTAGTTAAGTTAATGAAGTTTTCTTACAGAAACAGAGACAGAAATTCAGTAGAATCTCAATTTTCAAATGCCAGAGACATGGCAGAATGTCTTGGGAAAGAAATTCCTTTCAGCAGAACTGGTGATGCGTGAATGAAGACCAGTGTAAAGAACAGAAATGGAACACTGGGAACAATGAATTAGTAACTACGAAAAACATGGCAAAGTCATAGAGAAATGGCAATATAAAAACTCTTCTGAGAAAGGATATAAGATAAACTTAGAGTGAAACTATAGATGTGTGGGTTGTGCTAGTCATTCGGTGAGTGTGGCAGAGTGGATGAAAGAGATCTATGAGAGGTTAAGTACCACCAGCCCGAAGAGCCCAGCATATTTGATCATTGTAATTCTACAGCTCTAAGTGCCATAAATTATTTAAAAAACAAAAAGCAAAAAAACCCAAATAAACCCAGCAAACAACCATCACCTCTTGCCTGTTGAAACCTGGTCACCTGCATCATTATTCAATGCAGCAGACATACTTGATCATTCAAACTATTCAGCTCAAGGCAGTGTGGGTTTTCACTCTGCTATATATTCCCATGCAACTTGTGTGGCTTAAATCTAAACTGCTCCAGTGACGAGGATTACATCTCTTCCTTTGGAAGTGTTACATGCTTGGGCCTGTGTTGACAGACTATGTTTTTTAAAAAAAACCACCTCTTTCCCCTCCTCAGGTTCATTCTAAATGTCCCCTTCTGCTTTTCTATTGTGTAGTTCCCTAGCATTTTGAATTAAATAATGTGCTTCATAGTAGGCTGCTCTCATATCAGAAGAGAAACATTGTGATGCAATGCAAATCCTTTATTATGTTTTATGGTCTTTTGGCAAAGAAACCTGGCAAAGCTGTGTCTGGAGTGTTCTAATAAAGCTCAGGAGTATTTTAAAATCAATATCAAAATGAAAGATATATTATTCCCATACAGAGATATACTGCAAGTTCTTTTTAAGGTTAAAAAGATTTTCTAACAATTTTGAATTTGATTCAAAGAAAAAAAAATAACAAACAAATGAACATTTTTCCTAAAGATAGTTTCCTCATCTGCTTCTTATAAAATCTTTGAATGAGGAATACAGAAGTGGATGTTTCAAACTTGGCTCCTGGGTGCGAATTCAGGTCCCTGAAAACCTGAGTTTTGAACAGACTCTTTAATTTGTGAGGAACTGTGGAAGCAAAAGATGCTTAGCACAGTTAAATGCCTAAATATAACTTTAACAGCCTAACTAAACCCATTGGTTTGGGGTTCCATTACCTTTAGTGTATTATGTTCAGAATTTCCCTTGGATAATTTAAAGAGAAATAATTGTAGAAATGTTTCCACTTATTGTTTGAGTAAGTCTAGATGACCAATATTTTTTGTAGGTACATTTGCACCTGAAAAAAGGAGCCAGATAGCTTAAGTTAAAATAATAATAATGTTATCCTGGAGTACAAGACCACTCTAATGAAGAGTGAATACTAAAGGATTTGGTTTTGCCAAAAATTAATACCAGCTTCAGTCTATGCAAATATATGTTGAAGATGAAAAAATACATATGCTAGGATGTACCCCTGGAGCTACTCTAAATTCACACCAAACTATGATGTTTAGATATTCTTACACAAGTCTTAATGTGTACACTAATGTTGAAAACAAAAAGTGTTCCGTGAGACCTGGTGTTTCTTGGGAGACAGAGAGTAACAAAATGTGATGCATAAATCGGTGACAACCCTTCTATCTTACACTTCAGAAAATGTCATCTAATTTAGTAAGGGATATAGCAGAAATGGAAATGGTCCAGAAATGTATAGGACAATGGAAATAATTAGAAACCTGGAACAATTTCCATATGAGGAGAGAGAGCCAGCTGTAACGTACAGAACACTTAGGAAAAAAGGTATGTGGGATGCTGTTAGGGAAGTATACAAAATAATTAATAGTAGGGAGAAAAGGAACACTGAAATATATTTTCCACTGATAAAAGACAGGACTTGAATATGCTAGGTAAAGGCTGCCCGGGGAGGTGCTGGATTCACCCTCACTGGAGGTTCTCAAGATGAGACTGGATGTGATACTTAGAGCCATGGTCTAGTAACCACAGTAGGGTTGGACTCGATCTTTGAGCTTTTTTCCAACCCTGTTGATTTTATGATTCTATGATTCTATGATACTAAATAACATTGAGATTGATAAAGATTTTTGTATTATTAGAAAGTTGTAGAGCTAGCAAAGAATGGGTTCCATTAAAAACTTTGAGCCTTTAACTAGGGACAGCCATCTTTGAAAGGAGGCACAATCTAAGCAGGGCATCTAGTCTAGAAGGCCAGATCGTCAAAGATGAGTAACTTTGTAAGGATGAGCAATAGTTGAGAGGAATTGCAAAATATGTCTAAATCCTGTGTATTTTGAGAATGACTTTGAGTACTTATGTTAGATTCTTAACTGTAAATTAAAAATGGAAGTCAATATATTTTATATTACATGTATCATATATATTTAAAAAAATATTATCCATATCAAGAAACCTAAAATTCTCTCCCAAGATGAGTCACAGCAAAAGTATTTTCTTCCTTGCATAAGTTATTGTATTCAGGATTTTCCAATTTGTAAAACTGAAATTATTATATTTTTTAAAATAGAAAAATACAGCTAAACAAATTAATTTGAAATCAAGCTGATCATGATCATTGCTTTTTGACTGTAAAACATGAGAAACATTTCCTCCAGTAATGACATAATATATCAGAAGACTTAATTTTAGATTGATTTCAATAAGTTAGGAAACTATGAGACGTTTTCCTGCTAGGAACCTGTGAATAATATAGATGGATATTGTAGAGATACATGGCTGAACAGAAACTATTTGTTTGGTTTTATGGTCTAAGGAGCTTAGCTAGCACAGTACCTAGAACTGGATGATAACTGTAAGAAATCTGCTTTGGTACTTCCACTGTGGCTAGGCAAATGAGAATTTCTGAAAGATATAAAGACAAATGAGAAAGAGGAAAAAAATCCCCAAACAAACCAAGAATGTAAAAGCCACACAAAGGATAATTTTTCAAAATGTAGATGGACCTAAATAGAAAATCCAGATCCCATTTTCAGTGTCAGTTTTGGTAAAGACCAGTTTTGGGATGAGGACCACCTGTAAAACTTGGAATTGTTTGTGAGTTTGGTTTCCAAAATACCACCCACCTCTGTCCCAGTGTGAGTGATTCTAGGATTTCAGTTGCATGTAACACTTAAAATAGACACTTTAATCAGTCACAAAGCCTACAGAGAGTCAAATAAATGTAGAATACCATGGGGACTCACATGCCTCTATTTTGACCTGTGTCTATGACTAAATAGACTTGTCACATTGGCTGTGAGTATTTTTAGGGAGGGGCAACAACGTGAGAAGCAGCCGCCAATAAATTTCTACAGTAGAACTTCTAAAATAGCAGCACTTGCAGACACTAATCTTTCAAATGAAAAGGTTATTCAGTATGGTGAATATTTAAAATAACTCTTTAAAGATGAAGTAATCTCCAAACTAAAATATAAAAGATGGAGAAATAGAAACATTGAGGTGAAGGCTTAATCAATCACCACAGAGAAATTGCATGACTATCTCCAACACTGTAGAAGTCCTTCACCTGTCTTCATACTACTTTGAATATTATTTGTCTGAGGATTGATAAAGCATTTTGGCATATTACTGTCACTGTCAAACAATAAATCTGTAACACAGTACATGGCTTAGTGATGGACTTTCTAAGCTTCCACATCAGACAAATTGCTTATGAAAAGGATATGTAGTGCCAAGTAGAGAGTCATGCAAATATTACTAACAAAACCGCTCAACCCCAAAACAAGGCATACACTGCAAATTATGTTAAGCAATAGATAATATCATCAAAGATGTGTATGCAAGTCAAACCAAGTAATTCAGAAAGCATATCAGTCCAGTGGGAAATTATATTTTCAAGCCAAATGTCACAAAAGGTGCCCAGTCAAAAGTCACATATATTTTTAAATACATTGTCTTTTTATTCCAGTATAAGAAAATGGATTGAGTTTTGATTGTGTTAACATTAACTTGGGATAACTGCCCAAGTACTCCTACCCACAGGATAAGGGAATTTAAAATTCAATCGGAAAGTATATTTTATCATATGCTTATTTTCCTTTTACTGTATTTTATTGTTGTTGTCTGTCAGACTGCATAGTAATGTACCTTATTGGAATGTTTGGCCTAAATTTATATATTTTTGAAAACTAATGTAACATTAGAGAAGGTTTTGTTATGAAGGTCTGGTTTTCTGACCTTGTAGTAGCAAAGAAATGAAGCATTATCTTCCTCTTGAATGCTGACAAGAAGCTAAGCTAAATTCCTAAAATAATACATGTATATGCTAGGAATTTACCTCCCCAGAAG